GGGGGGGGGGGGGACGGCTTTTTCACATTTTTTGGATTTTTTCCAAAATTTTTCGCAAATTTTCAGATGAACTAATGAATGATGAATGCACTAGGAATCTAGCCTCTCAATACAGCGAGCAGCTCGTTCAGAAGAAATTTTACTTCTAGTCTTTTTACATAATAATTAAAATAAAAACTGATGTGACTAAACGGGGTCTAAAGACTCTAAACCTACCACCTTTCCGATGCAAGTACGACGGCAACAGCACTGTTGAGAAGAAGACCAGGTTCCTGATCTGCCGACGGAGCACACCGCGATTTACAAGATGAGTTGGAAATTGGAATTCAACCCGGACCGGTGGAACACATTGATAAGGGAGATGAAAGATCAAAGTCAATCCCGACCATTAGATCGACACCGGATTCGAGCTTCGGACAAGTCGATGAGTGGTGAGGGGCCACCCAATACCTGGTTCAAACCAACCGCTGGTTTGAACCAGTCGACAAGAGGTTCATACCATCATCATCAGGTTCCAAGGTCTAACCAATCGGCACGCGGTTTTAACTGACCAACCACCTGGTTACAGGTTCACCTGCTATTAACCCGCATCAGATTAGCTGAGCATACATGGTTTGGACCAGCCAATGCAAGCCACCACAGCCAACACGCCTGCTTTGTACCAGTCTGGGCCCAATGCCCATGCCTGGTTCCAACCAGCCGACACCTGGATGCAGTCAGCACACCACCACTACCAGGTTCTGTTTCCACGACTGATGGAATGGAATGAGCCGCTGCAGGTCAATTGTGATCATCAAAGGTTCAGAGCTGCACCACCTGGTTCAAACCAGAACCCACTCACTCCGGTTCCGGTTCGAACCACCAGCAAGCCAACAGTGGTTGGAACCCTGTTGCCAGCGAGCGATCTGGTTCAACACGGCATCGATCGACCTGACCTAAACTAGGATGAACCAGCCAAACCTGGTTCAAACTTCAAAAAGCCTTCCACCCTGGTATGAACCACCCACCAAGACCTGATACAAACCAGCCCAATCCAGACGGGGACCCGGTTAAAACTATGCCACCCTGGTATGAACCACCCAACAACGCCTGGCACAAACCAACGCAACACACCTCACGGCACCCAAGACCTGGTTCAAACCATTCCAACCTGGTTTGAAGTTTGAACCAACCATCCAGGAGCTGATCCAAAGCAGACCAACATGCCACACAAGCCAGGTCCAATGCCTGTTGGAGCAAATCAACGGCCTCCCTCTCCAAGCAAGCTCGTCGACACCTGGTTAAAAATGAGCACACCCGAAACCCTAAACCCTAAACCACAAACAAACCAATGCGTCGTCTGGGCCAACCCAACGCGTGGTCTAGACCCTAGACCAACCCAACCCACCGCTATAAGAACTACCCAACCCCTGGTCCAAATGGAACCACACTAGTCTAAACCTGGTCTAAACCTTGTTTTTTTCTTCTCTTTTTTTCTGAACCTAACAACCTCTGATTCAAGAAACCGCGCCTTCAAACACACTTGATTCCAACTTCAAACTGAACCACACCATTGGTTTGGATTTGGTCTAGATTTGACCAACCAGATCTTCTTAAACCAGCTGGTTCGAACCAACCTACATCTGGCTCATTAATAAAACGGATGCCAATCGCCACACAGCCTATTCACTTCCCTCACCTAAATGCCGGGTCTGCATATTTTACTTACTCGGCACGATGCTCAGGTCGCCTGAAGATCTGAAACATGGATGAACCTGGGCTCCTTTCAAGGACAGATGCTGGTAGCTGGGCACACACCATCTTCATCACCTCCACGGAACCGATTACACCTTTGTTCACCCACACTGCCTTTCTACAGACTCTCCCCTTCCTCTTCCTCTTCCTCTTCCTCTTCCTCTTCCTCTTCCTCTTTGCTGAACTTTATGCTGATATCAATAATTACAATGGCCTTGCCGATGACATTGATGATCTTGCCCACGCGGAGTGAAGATGTATTTCAGATTTCTTTATTTTTCAGTAAGGATGTTATCATGTCTAGGATGCCCATCCGTATGGCGTTGCTGAGGTTGATGAATCTTGCCCACATTTGGGGGATAATTCAATCCAGAGGCAGACTTTTACAATGCTGATACTGCATAAATTCTACTATTCGTTAATGATCGTGTTGATGATGATGACGATGACTGTGTTCAGGATAAACTGACAACGCCGATAATGTCGAGAATATCGGCAGCGTTGTGAGGATGCGCAGAATTCCGGGGCGACTTCTCCAAGATCTTTGCAATTACTGTGTATATAGTGTCTACATCGATCATTTTCCCTCTTCATTGTGCAACAGACAGACTTTTTGTAAAACCCAAGGGGGTTATCCCCCCAACTGCTCTGCTTGTAATCGTCGCAACTGCCTTTGCGCCGGTTTTACCGGCAAAACACGGTCAAGCCAAGTCACATGTGCCTGCTGCTTGCGCTTCTCCCTGCCTCGTAATCGCAACCTGATTCATGCCAACCAAGATCCCCATTTGCAGTAATAGGATGACAGCGATGGAAACGTTGTTGAGCACACTTCAACAAATCACAGCGTTGCTTTTTCTTTTTCCTTTCTCTTACATGAAACGGGCCCATAGGGCCCAAACTTTTCCTTTTTGCCGAGCCTTGTCCATACCCCCGGAAAATGCAGTGTGACGTATATTCCTGTTTTTCCCAACACTGAGAAAGGTAGTGGTGGTTTAAAATCCAGGAAAAAACAACAAAAAAAACAAAATTTTACTTTTCTCACTATCAGTACTTGTTGTACTTGCAACCGCACAAGCCGCACGGCCGTACGCCGCACAGCGCACGAAACCTGCCCGTGCGCCGCACCAGAAATAACTTCTGTTTTTTCTGTTTGTTTGTTTGTTTTGCTGTTTTTGTAGATACAGTAGAGTGCACTACCTAAGGAACAGATCCTGTTCAAGTACAGTCGTACAAATCTTTGCTTTTTGTCTCATTGGCATGGTAACCATCCAGACGTCCAGACCGGGTTCCAGACAGTCCGGAACAACATGTCCGGTGTCCGGTCCTTATGTCTGGATGAAGGTCCCCATGGCAAACATCGAGAAAAAAAAAAAGGGGCAGGCCAGGACGTTTTTCGGGTCCTGGCCGCCCCTCGAAAAATAACAGGGTGGTTTTTCAGTGTTGTTTCACCCCACCGGACAGGGCCTAGAGGTCCGGACACAAGACACTGCAGGTTTTTGGGGTGGCGGGTTTCACACAGTCCCGAGCAATTTCAAAGCGGCCGTTTCGACGTGCCGCCCGCCGCTGCTGCCCCTTGGAGAGAGAGAGAGAGAGAGAGAGAGAGAGAGAGAGAGAGAGAGAGAGAGAGAGAGAGAGAGAGAGAGAGAGAGAGAGAGAGAGA